TCCGTCCGTCCGAAATCCTAATCTCAATCCCAAGCAGCGCAAAAATATATAAAAGGGGCGGCGAAATCCCAGACGCGGTTTTTAGAACACCGGAAAGTGGTGGGTCCGCTTTTCGTGCCAAATCCTGACTAGACTACCCCTTCGCAGCTCCAATAGCCATCTCGCCCTCTCTCTTCGGCTTTTCCTCAACCAGGTTTGATTTCGATTCAATCTCGTTCGATCCGTTCTCCTCCTTTTGCTTTTCTAGTATTTATTATTGTTTTAGTTTTTGATTTGAGTTTTTGATTATGGAAATTTATCTGTGCAAGGATTTTTTTCTTTTTTTTCTTTTTTGAATCAGGTCTGGGTTTGCTAAAATTTAGCGATCTATTTCTATACGTAGCAAATCTGCTGATGAATTATGATCTGTTTTACCTGTGCTAATCGTAGGAAAGAATGGAATACTGCTCCGAAAATGAATTGAATTCAGAAATTTTGGCGAATTTTGTGTCATATGGTTCTATGAGATTGTTTGGGTAGAAATTTCGTAATTTTTATTCAAAGAATGGTTGATATAGTTTGATTAAAGCTGCAAATGACAGTATACAATCATTTTTGCTGGTTATTGAAAATTCTAGAAATTTCTGGTTAGGAGGATATGGGATGGAAAGAAATGGAAAGGAAGTTTTACTTTAAGTAGACTAATGAGCTATAAGTTGATTGCTTTTGTAAGAGTCTTATACATATAAGAATGGAATTTAGGAGCCTTGAATGTGTCTCAAGCAAAGAAGTTGATGATGTTGGGAAGAAGCCTTTCTAATGGTTGAGTTGTCGTGTTAAAATTTAGATTCAGACTATTTTACGTTAGAAAATAGCATTACTGGTGTTTCTTGGCTTTGATGTAATTATCTTTGATTTACCGTGTTTCTAAGTAGTGTATTTATTCAATCAACGCTAATTAGGCTTTTGTTTCTGTAGGAGCAATGATTCGGCTACGCAAAGTAAAGGAAAAGCAGAGAGAAATGGCTGAAAATGCCAATGGTGGGGCACCTATCAGAAGGCAAACTGCAGGGGAGTTGCGTCTTCATAAAGGTTTGTTTCTTGTATTTACTAATCATGTTCTTGAAGATCCTTAGTTTAATGACTAAAATATGTTCTCATTTCTTCGAGTGCTTTACAACCTTTTTTTTTTTTAATTGAGTTACTTTGCTTTAGGGTGAGGAGGAGTGGAAGCATTGGATTCAATTAGTCTGATGTTTCATGAATACTGAGTACTTTTTCTTGGTTGTTGTCATTATTTTGGGTTTAAGATAATCTGCAGTTATTGGGATTTTTAGAGAGAGGACACTAGGAATTATGAGTGTTCCCCTTTCCTATTTGGAATTATTATGAATTCTGAATGGGTCCATCCCTCCAAAATTTTTTGGGATCAATATATATATATATATATATATTTTATAATTTTCCAAATTGTGCTAATTTGGTAGGAGACCAGAAATATTTTATACATTTTTTCACCTCCCCTCTTTTTTCACCTCCCCTCTCTTTCTTTTCTAAACAAAAGAGAGGGAAAGGAAACTGGGGTGTAACTGTTGCTTCCTCACCTTCCAGACTTTTAATATAGTTTAATTGGTTTGAATGTCCTAATAGAATCCAGACCACAACCAAATTGGTTCTAAAAATTCATTCTAGAGTCTAATCTTAAACGATTTTGTGCAATCAGTGTACGATACCAATTCACTTATATCAAACAACTGGATGAGTTCTTGTTGACTAAGACAACTAAATTTTTGTAGAATTTATTTAGTTTCTCCTTTTTGATTTTTTCTTTATTGCAAATGCTGATTATATGATGATTGTCAAGTTCATTTCATGATGCTCTCTGCCTGCGTAACTGGCATTCAAGTTCTGTAATAATCATTGTCCTTACAATTGGTTGGCAATCAAGTTCATGGTATGGACTTGAAGATTACAGATCTTTTGCAGTGGATTTTAGTTGTTTTCTTAGGGGACACTTTAAGTTTATTGAACCCATTTTATGCACGTGATTCTGACATAATATTTGGCCATTTACTTGCAGATATCTCTGAGTTGAACCTACCTAAATCTTGTACTATATCATTTCCTAATGGCAAGGATGATTTGATGAACTTTGAGGTTTCTATACGCCCTGACGAAGGATATTATCTGTAAGGAATTCTTTTAATGCCTCTGTCTACACAATATTTTGTTCTTTGGCAGAATTTACTTGGTTGAACTTTCTGTTTGTGGGGAAATGGAAGTTAGGTTAATTTTTATTGCAATATTGTGTGCCTTTCTGTTCTATTACTGTTTCTGATAATTAACTGGATACATGTTTGGCCTCTGCTAAAAGGGGTGGCACTTTTTTGTTTTCCTTCCAAGTTTCTTCCATTTATCCACATGAGGCACCAAAGGTTAAGTGCAAGACCAAGGTAAAGTGGCATCCTATGTATGGTGTGCCTTTACTTTCTTTTTCTTTGTCAGTTTCTGTTATAAATTGTTGCCATTAACACATTCATCTAATTTTCAGGTCTACCATCCTAATATTGATTTGGAAGGAAATGTCTGCCTCAACATTTTACGAGAAGATTGGAAACCTGTGCTCAATATAAACACTGTTATCTACGGGTTATATCATCTTTTCACGGTAGAACTTAAATAGATTCGTCATCAAGTTTCTTTATAGTTGTGGGTGGCCATCTTGTATCTGATTTTTCCATCATGTTTCCAGGAACCAAATTGCGAGGATCCCCTTAATCATGATGCTGCCGCAGTGTTGAGGGATAACCCGAAGATGTTCGAGTCTAATGTGAAAAGGGCTATGTCTGGAGGATATGTGGGGAACACCCTTTTCCCCCGCATTATGTGACTTTTGCTCTGTAGCAGAAAGTGGCAATGCGCAAATGTTAACGATTCTGGAATCCCCATGGGTTGTATAATTGACTGCAAATTATTTGTCATGCCTTTTGATTTTCTGGGTGAAGCTGGTGGAATTAATTCCTAAAAGGAAAAAAACTGAAATGCACACCCAGTTTGTTTCATTATATTGTTTGTAATGCCATTTGTGTTGTCGTATCATATCCATGACCCAACCCACTCATGATTTGGCCTCCATTCATCCATAAGTTGGCACCATGCACTTATCGTTTAAGGGTTGAGGTTACGTGCTTGAGATTATGGTTTCTGAGTGTTAATTTACAGGTGATGAGGTTGTAAGGTGTCAGTATGCTGTGATCTCGTTTTCTAAATAATAAAAAAAAAAGAAAAAGAAAAAAGGAAGGAGGATGCTGTCAAAAGCAAAATTTGAATTCCAATAATCAGAAATGTTCTAAATTTAAAGTCGGAAGAAATATTCTCGTAAAAAGACAAGGCTCAAATCATTTCTTCCTCTTTCGAACTCATCATCCTAGCATTCTCACGGTCTCGCCAAAAAAATTTGTATAATGGTGTGTAAAACAAACAACACAAACCGAATGGAACTGCCATCATGGAGAGGAGGCCTCTAGACAATGCCAAAGCCTCGCGAGGGGAACCTTTATTTGGATCTATGGATGTTGAATCATAACCAAACATCCTTTCTGAAAGAATCCCTACCAACGGAGCAGCAACAGAAGAGAAGGATCCTTCGAAAGCACGGTCGAATGCATAGATCATGGTCCGATGTTTAGCAGGCACTACCTCAGCAAACATGGGACCATTTGCAGCAGTACCATTCCAGCTGATGGTTAAGCCCATTAAGAAGAGAGTTACTGCAAAGGTGGAGTAGCTGCTAACTGATTGTGGGATCACTTTTAGGAGGAACCATGAGAATGGGATGCCCATGAAGGCACTGAACTGTGCACACATGATACGGGCAGAATGGGGATATATTTGTGTCAGTCTGTCTGCTATTAACCCACCAACAAAGGAACCCATTGCACATCCGATGGCAAAAAAACTCAGAAGAGCTGCTGTGGATTTATGATCAAAACCTGCAAGAAAGAACAAAAGAAATCGGGCATCAAGCAACATTAATGTATTCTCCAATTGATTAACTTAGGATTATGCTAAAATTTCATTTGTACTTACCAATAAGTTCAAACCACATGGTAAAGAACACCATTGCAGTCCATGGAAGTGAACCGACAAGACCCTGCAACACAATGATCTGAAATGTAGGCACTTTTATGACAGCCTTGGTGGCTGCCCAAGACTCAAGCCAAACGGATGAGGCACTTGCATTTCCCTTCTCTATCAATTCATCCCTTAAAAGGGGAAAACGGAAAAACAGAGTAAGCAAAACACATAAAAAGAGCAACAGAGAAGAGGCTCTTTGATTAACACAACTACTAGTAGATGAAGGTGGGATCTAACACAAGCTAGCAATACCTATCAAAATTTTTGCCAGATTCATGGCTCATGCCAACTGTTTTCCGAGGATCAATGACAAATAAAAAGACTAGGAACCCAATCAATGCACTCACTGCTGCCATCAGAATGAATGCACAGCGCCAACCAGGCGTGCCACCGAACTGGTGACCAGCCATTATGGTGGCTAGAACACCGCCTCCTATGCCACCTAAAGAACCAACAAGGCTTAAAAAACCAAACCCTGCCCCCCTCACACCATCGGTATAACTATCAGCAATAAAAGACTGGAGTGCCGGTATTACAATTGCCAATCCAAACCCGTTCACCGCTCTCCATAATGCAACCTGCAGAAAATGCTGGCTTGCACCCACTGCAGCAGTTGATAACGCCCAACACAAAGTTCCAATCGCAAGAACAGTGGGGCGGTCATGTTTAATTACCAGTACACCTGCCAAAGGAGATGACAGGCCCTGCACAAAGTTTCTGATGAATGTGAGATATCCCAGATCAGATGGTCCAGCACTGAAAGCTTCACTGACTTCTTTGTAAACAGATGGGAGAAGATTTTCATCAGCGCGCTCCATAATAGCAGCCAAATTTATAAGAAGGATGGAAAGAGATATTCCAAAAATCTTTCTACTCCTGTCCAAAGTTGAAGCATCACCAAAGATGTAGAATACACAATACAGAATTAATGCAATGAGAAAGAAATTTTATAATTAACAGTATTGATTGATATGCAGACATATACCTAATAACTGCTCTGAAATGTAACTGAAACAAACTAAATTTCAGACAAGACCAAATCCTAGAAAAGTAAGCAAGAAAACAAAAGATATGGAAAGGGAACTCACTTCATAGCTTGGAGGTGTCTTCGCAGCCGAGAATTAGATCGACGAGCAGAGCCAGCACCCACTTTTGAATTGATATGATGAAAGCCCATAAATCAAGAACCCCAAACACCAGTTAGATTGCTGGAAAAATTAAGAGCCGGTTTCGAGGGCAGATCCGGGCACCCATTCGTTGTTCTGTAATAAAACAAGTTCTCCGGTCATTGAGGGAGTCAACCGTAATTACCACGAAAGCATAGTCAACGCAGATAATATGGTATTGTTTGGTTTTTTTTTTTTAATTGCATGATAAAAAATAATTATTTTTTATTTTATTTAATTTGTATGTTATATGATTCAAATTTAAGATTTTTAATTTTTAATTAAAAAAATAATTATTAAATTATTTAAATGGTTGATGATAACATCATATTGTTGAAGGTATAACAACAGTTAAGCCGAGGTAAAATTGAAGGTATGGTTTGGGGGGAAGGTTATCACTACACATGCAAATATTAGGTCCACACAAAATCTCTAAATATTTAATAGAACATATAGTATCTATTTTTTTTTTATTGGCAAAAAAGAGTATATACCATCTATGGCTTTACAAACTGAAAATTTTAAATATTTTAAATATTTATTT